GCATCCCTCAGTCTGCTTCTTTTTGCTGAATGTCTTGTGCAGAAACTCATGGTTTATGTTACAAACAGGATAACTGCTGACTTGGCGCACATGATGGTGGAATGTTTGAAAAATACTGAAGTTAATATAAGAAATCAGAGACGCTAAAACTCCATACACTGCACTGGACTCAATAACGAGTCTGAACTCCAGTGACATAACTCTGGAAGCACCCCGTATTAAACAGAAAAGCAAAATATAAGCAGGTGTCAAGAATAAAGATTAAACCTTTAGTATGTAACATTTTTGAAGATGGGTACCACAAGTCACAGAATGATATGTGATAAATTAATTGTTGCTTTAAATCAGTTAAATCACTCATTTACCATCACAGGTGATTTCAGCCACTTTCTCATCATGGCACACATTCCCTCCCCAGGGAGCAGACGGACACTGCCACACTGAGGAGTCATGGGGGCGACACTGGAGCTCGTCAATCCAGTGTGGGGCCCCTTCCAGCCGAGACCTAGTTGTTGAAACAATGCCACTCTTTCCACAGCTGAGATGCTGACATATGAGACTAGCTGTGCTTGTATCCATGTTACTGAAGCAAACATTTCCCCAAGTGTTATTGTAGAAAACCTCCAGCTGTCCAGAGCAGCCTCCTGCCAGTCGGATATCATTAAAATCTACAAGAAAAAAGGGAGATCAAAATAAAAATATATGCAATAATTACTTTCATGTTTAATACAAGTTCAGGGACACAGTGAGCCCTAATCCTATCCCAGCAAACACAGAGCAGGGGACACCCTGGACTGGATGCCAGTATATTACAGGGCAAGCACTCATTATAGGCAATTTGCAAACATCAATTCACCTAAACATCCATTTGTTTACAAAGGGATGAATCCAGAATGCCTAGAAGACACCAACATGAGCAAAGGGTGACCATGCAAACTGCAGCTACAGAGGCAGCAGCCAAACCGGCAAACCCGTAAATGTGTCATACAGCTGACAAGTGGCTCACCACAGGACACCCAGTTAAATTATTTAAATTTAAAGTAACCTGATAAATTCAATAGTGGACATCACACAGCCTCACCTGAACACACTACTCCCACATCCTCTTTATGGACACAGTCATTCTGTCCCCATTGTACTGGACAGTCCCACAGAGACGTCTCATTCCCCTCACAGTCCACCTCATCCAGCCAGATGGGTCCAGTTCCTGGTCCAAAGAAGGTGGGCACTGGGTCACTGAGAGCCGTCCCACACTGGAGCTGCCTGCACACCACCTGAGCATCCTT